TATGCATGGGTAATGTTCAGTGCCTACAGAAAATAAAGAGAAGTTGCACAAGACTTTCAAGTAGTAGCTCTTGCTTGGTTGGTTAGATGTGAGGAACATTAGCTAATTCAGAAGCCCCAAATTTTAAACTTTTTCAGTTTGGAAAACACCTATTTGTTCAGTAGCACTGTGGGAGGAAAAGGAATTCAGAAGATACTCAGACATTGGCCAAACCAAAAGGAAAGATGGAGAAGTCAGAGGAAGCGTTTTAGTTCTTTGAGAGTGCTTTTACTGCTGTTGCAATATATTTATTAGCATCCCTGCCTGTAATCTATCTGTCAGGTTTTTCAAGTCCCTTTTCTTTCAGGAAGAAATTGTGGGCTGCGATATAATGCTGTTTTCTGCGCACTCTTTTCTTCAGCACATTGATGGTGACAGAGCAACATCTGTGAGCAGGCGCAGCTGGGCAGGAGGGTGCAGGTGTTCCTAGCAGACAGTGACCAGGCAGCAGTGACCAGATAGGAAATGCTGAGTGCACTGCTCCCCTGTAGCACCCAGAGACTGAAAAAGTTAGGGGGTCTGGAGGGAAAGCAAAAATTTTCTTTGGATGATGTCAACATTTTTTTGTAGATGCTGATGTCAGGAAATCTTGCTTTAAGTGAAAACGGCACTGTAATAGTTCAGCTGCAGAGCCCACCTCAGTTTACCTGGCAATCCAGCACAAGGTGTTTCCAATGAACTTGTGCTTTCTGGGCATCATTCAGAGGCCAGTGATATGTAGGGTTTGTTGGGCAGCAGAACAGGATAAATTTAAATTGTGCCTCTTGCTGAATTGGTACTTATGCTTGTCGTGAGTAGTAAAAGATGGCTGTAGTCCCTTTTGGTTTTATTTTGTTCAGGTAATGACACTGTGTCCCTGGCTGCTTTTTGCAGCAGTGACCTCTCAATGTCCCTGCTCTGTGTGGGCTGATTGCTCCCTGACAGAGAAAACAGGGAACAAGTGGGCAAGCATAATTACAGCCTGACAGGGGCTCAGGATCAGAACGTGAACATGAAATCAGTTTGAACTCTGCTATTGAATTACTGATGTTGCCGGTTGTCCCTGTTAACTCTTATAAAAGAAGAAGGTGGTTATTTTCTACAGTGAGTTGTTGGTAGTGAAACCAAAGGTGCTTTTTTTTTTTAATAGTCAGAGCTTGAAGCATATGTGAATATATCTGTTGTGTCGATTTTGATGGTAGGGAAATTGTCCTTTTGCTGCAGTGCCACAAAAGAAGAAAAACAAGCCACCTCTGCAGCCAGTGATAATTCCAGTGCAGCAAATGCAAACGTGTGCAAAGGACTGCGCATCTGTAGGAAGCTGCTGACAATTATTGGCTGTTTTACTGTATGAGGGTGATGTGGAAAACCTTAGACAATTCCATGACATGCTGTGTGCCAATAGCGGTGTATTACTTCATTTCCCCCTTAGAGAATGTGTGAACTTAATTGTACAAGGCTTTTGGGGTTTTGCCTATTCTCTGTATCATCTTCTATTTATAGTTTTCATTAGCTGTTGTTTCAGATTGACTGATAAGACTGCTGTAGCTGTGGAATAGTGTAATTTTTAATTTTCCATTCATGTGGCCAAGAGGGACAAGAAGGTTTTCGATTCAAACGGCTAGCTGGATGGCAGTCCCAGGCATTGCAAGTAGTAGATACAACAGTTTGCGTTTTAAAAGGCTACATAATGTGGGAGCATGTGGATAAAAGCATTTTACAGATATAGCATGCCCAGAACTTTTCCTTCCGAGCATGTTGTCCAACGTAAAACAGATCAAGCTGTGGAGGATTACTGAATAATTGTTTTTATTTTTCTGAGAATGGAAACGTGTTGAAAGCGTTCTCACTCCTTTCTCCATTGAATTAAGGCTTAGATATGAGATCAAAGTGAGGAAGAACAGATTTGACAAATGACCAGAGAGAAGGGAGATTTCTGAAATGCTGCTGATGCTTGCTTTAGGGATAAGAAGGGTAAGTTTGGGAGAAGACTCAAGTGGTAAGTGCGTGCGGGAGAGATCAGGGAATCTTTGGGGAAGAATCTGATTTGCAGGCTGCAGAAGAATTTTGGAGTTTTTGCTGAGCTAATTTGTTGCTATATTAATAATTTGCAGCTGTAATTTTTATACAACACTTGTTTTTCTTGATGTCAACAAAATAAGATGTTGTAGTCACAAAAGCAAGGTATTAGGTAAATCGAGGGAGTACCACGTATTTTTTTACTGAATTTCCAGTTTGAAATTTCAGCAGAGTTCAAATAGAGCCTCACAGCAGTATCTCCATCTGTCTTCCCCCATTTGGCCATCTTAATTTGAAAATCACTGAATATGTCCTTGTTTTAAGGGACCCAACCTATTCTGGTTCTTTCCTTGAACCTGATTTGCTTTGTGCTGGTGTTCGCTCTCTCACCAGCACAGCTGTGGTTTCAGTCATTACTGATATGTCGGGCACTGCGATTGTGTTTAGGTCCCACCCCTCTCACAGTTCTGGTTATTGAGAAATGTTCGTCTTTTTAAAGGTGCATAAATAAACGTATAGGTAGAAACTGCTTACATTTATGTACTGTTCTCCAAATTGTGGTGAGCATGCTGCCACCAGCACTGATGGGAAAAGATTTCCAGCTGCAAGGCGTCTTTGATTGTATGGCAAACAAATACTTGGACGTGGATTTGGATTGAGTTTCTGAGTTTAGTGACGTATTGCTAAAAATCTTGACTGAAGTTCAGTCTTGCAATGTAGCAAGGGTTTGATTATTTTTTGATTATTATTTTTAGGTTTTTTTTGCTGTGTAGTGTACTGATTTTTGAGGCTTTTTTTAAAAGCTACTTTTAAAATTAGTATTTGGTATTTTGAAAGTGCTGTATATATTGATCTTCTATTAAATTCTTCTGGTGGATTAAATTCAATTATTGATTAAATCTAATTACTTAATGTACGTTTAAACGTTGTTGGCTTTTCTTAACAGTGCCTTTTTTTCCCCAACGTGTTACCTCAGATAGGTAACCAAATTATCCCACAAGCTTGCTGGATTTTCCTTTGTTACTGACTAGACCAGAGCAGGACTGGATTCCACCAAAGTGGGGATTAGCAACATTGGTATGGCAGAATACTCTTGAATCATACGTCAGTGTATAAAGTGATCTTTAATGAATATTTTGCAAAGGCTAAGCTACTGCAAATTATTTTCTGAAGTCTGTGTTAAACAAGATGTCTAGGCATGTTGTCCAACTTTTTCGTCCCCTGTTTCTAATATTTTCTAGCTCGCAAGTTGATGGAAATATTTTAACCATTGTATGGTGTTAAATCATTGTAGGTAAAAAAACCAAGCTGAAAATTAACCTTCAACCATAAAATTGAACTTTTCAAATATATTTATAAATTAATGTTTATATACAACTTTCTGATCCAGCTTTTAGTAGTAGATATAATGCCTTTGTGCACCTCTTCTGCAAAACGTGCCTCTGAGCTTGGGAATACATGAATGTTCTTGATGGGTTTGGCTGCTCTTGGTCTTGAAATTCCCGAGCAGTGATGCATGAAGTGTGGTAGATGGTATGTAATTCCACAATGGTAGATGAGGTATACTACTTAAAACTTAAATTTTAGGTTGAAATTGCCCATATTAGGATTTTTATGTTGGCTTTTTTTTTGACTACAAACCCGATATTTAATAAGTTCCATAATTGAGAAGGACTTATTTTTTTCAGGCTTCAAAAATTATTTGAGCATTAGTAGATGTATGGGAAGTAATTAGGTCATTGAAACAAGACTGGTAGTTTAAAGAATTTGTTTTAATGGGATGCAGAAGTTGAAGTGATACTTCTGAAAAGATTTTTGTGAATGTTTAAAATTTTTTTGGTGATTCAGAGGGGTGAACTTTTAAGAATAAAAGTATCTTTCTCTGCAAAAATATTTGTCCAGTGGTTTTGTTTAAAATAAATGCACTTCTGTTTGTTTAGCAGAGTTGACTCAGCTTTGGTTGGTTACCATAGTTCAGCACTGTTTTTGCATTTCCATGTGAATTTCTAGTAATTCCCAGGCTTGGTTCAGGTTTTGGGGATCTTGTTGTATCGCTTCCGTTAGCTGCCTGTGGAGCTGTGCTTCTCTTCGTTGAATTTGGAAAAACATCAAACACGATTGAAGTCTTGATCTAGTATCCCTCAAATGTCACTCACTGCTCAAAAAATCAAATAACACAGTAGTAACACAGTGGCTGTGGACAGCAGCAAGAGATAAAAGGCTTTGCCTGTTTTAAAGTGGTTATCTGGTGGATAGGTACTATGGCAAGTTAACACTGATTGTATAAGGTAGTAGTTGTTCAAAGGTGTTTTGAAAAACAAGAAAAAAGATTTAGAATTAAAATACACTGCGATGATGGGGGGGAGCAAGGACAGCCTGATAGCATTTTATAGTTGAGAGGTTACAGCTGATAGGTGAAGTTCAACTGTTGTTTTGTGTAGCTGGAGCTGGTTCTTGATTTGTGTTGTCAGCAAAGTTGTTCTCTTGCCTCTGGTTCCCCGTTTGCTGGCTGCCACTGCTAATATGTTCATTTTTCAGTCTCATCATGAAAGCTGAAAGCCGTAACTGTGTGACTGGAGCTGTTGAGGAGCTCAGTTAATCTTCTCTAGCGTTTGGATTGGAAGGATAAAAGGCTGAGAGGATCAAATATATGTTGAGTTTTGGCCTGACCTTGACTTCTTTGTCTGAATTACTTCCTTTATCAGACTTGGTTACTTTGTTTGATCTTGGTCCCCTGTTTAAGCCCAGGGTCTGCATTTTGCCGCTCCAGTTACATAGATGCGGAGTCTCCACTTATCATTTGGAATGTTGCTGCCCAATGAAAATGCTCCCTTAAGTGATAAAATTACAAATGAATCCATAACTTAAATAGTGTTACTGGATAATGCCTTTGAACAGTTAGAATGATTTTGAGTTAACTTTGCTCTTTGTTTTATTCTTGTTTTTTTTCTTTGCAGGAGAAAATGGCCAAAATGGAGGTCAAGACGTCACTTTTAGACAACATGATAGGGGTGGGAGATATGGTTCTTTTAGAGCCGCTTAATGAAGATTCGTTCATCAATAATCTGAAAAAGCGCTTTGATCACAATGAAGTATATGTGAGTATATGTTAACAAATTGCATCCTATGAGGAGCTATGTTGTCATTCTTAAAATATGTGTGTGTTTATAAGGATACACATAGACTGAATGCCTGAACATAATCTATTGTATTAGGGATATTTTAAACCTTACTTGTGCTGTAGTCTTTCTTGTACTGCATTGTTTGCATTTGATCTTTTCCATCTGGGATATTTTTCCTTTTTCTTTTTCCCCATTGCACAACATGGTGGACCTCTGATTTTCATAAAAAACAGTTCCAGAACTGATGATGACAATGACTTTGATACCCCTGTTGTCAGAGGACATTGCAGTTACAAATAATTCAGTTACAGGGAAGGCACTTCTAGGATGTTGAAGCAGGTTGATGTAGAAACAATACATGCTTGGAATATGCTAGGGCTAGCTTAAATGTTGCCTGCTATGTTTGATTTGCAAAAAAGTTATGTTTATTAGAATGGTTGTATTTTGAACTAGAAACAGTGAGCTTGGAAATATGTGGAAGTAATAAAAATCTTTAGGCATATTAATCTCTTGAGTGATGATCGATAGGAGAGATGTTGTGAGCTGACAGTTGAAACACAGGCAGGGAATGAAGAGGCAAATTGTGATTCCAGTTAAGCCTTTCATTTCCTGCTTCATCTCTCTTTGTTCCATTTTTGTTAAAATGGGCGCAGTATTGTATCTGTTGTACTGCTGAGACTGCGTGAACTTAATGATTTGTAGAGACTTTCTAAGACCGCAGGTGAAAGATAAGTCTTTTAAGAGTAAAGCTGAAATATTTAAGCCAAAGCAATTGTGCCTGCAGCTTATTACAATCAAATAGATGTGTTCTGTACTTAATTATAACTTAACCCTCCCATTCTTTTAATTTTCAGTGTGACTATATTTTTCCTTCTTACTAAGCATTTGAACCGTCGTGGTTTCATTGTACTTTTTCCTTTCCATTCTCCAGTATGAGAGGATCTGTGTTATTTTTATTTGCTTCTTCTGTCCCTTAGTTATAATCTGTGCTTTTGTACATCTGTTTATTGTCTGTTGCATCTTTCTTCTTGAGTAATTTTCCTACTCAGCTACGCCTGTTCCCTTTTCTGTAGGCGTTAGCTTGGTAGTAGAGAATTGCACCTATCTGCTGTTGTATCACCTCTACCTATTTGCTCCTTAAGTTTGGACTGACAAATTAACCAGAAAATTAAAATAAGACAAGGACTCTCAGTATCCATTAAAACCTTGTTGGAGGAAAAAGCAAAACAACCTGTATTTGTGGAAAGATTTCTTCCACAATGGTTAAAAGAAATCTTCCTGATACCTTTTAGAGTTACATTTCCAAAAATTTGTGACTTAAATTTTCCTTGTTCCTTGAAGATGTAGTCTGTTCCTTCTTGTTACAGGCAGGTAGATAGGAGACTCTTCTCTGCTTCTCTTTCCTGCTGCTTCTGGCAAGTCTTCCATATTCAACAGCTGCAGGGACTACCCCTTCTGGGATTCAGAGGTGTTTTTCAGTCAGTGGCTTGTATAATTAATATGTTTCACATCAATTTTAGGATAAACTCTATATTCCTAATACCTACAGTAGAAGTGGGTGATACTGAATTATCTCGTTCCACTTCAGCTCAAGAAAAATGTGAAGGAGAAGGAAAGGGAGCTATTTGCCTGGAGATTGAAGAAGGCTGTACTACCTTGCCTGATCTTTGGGTCGTATTTGACAGTTTTATTTAAAGCATTAAGAATAGAAACCTATTCTGTGAGGGTAACCTAGACTATGCAGCCATATTAAGGGTTGCTATAGGATGTATGGGAGTGGATTTCTCAAGGATTTGCTTTGTTTTGTTTTTTTACTGTAAACTACTATGGATTGCGAGGTATTTAATGACATGTTTCTGCTTAATTTAGACTGGATAGCTTTTTCTTGAAAGAAATCAGTTTGAATGACGAATGGGTAATCAGTTTTATTTTTATCTGCTGTTACGTGCTAGCTGACAACCATGTTCAAACACACAGTTCTTTCAGATGGTGACAGTGAAGCATGTATTTTCCTCAGTTTCTGATTCGGCTGGGCCTGGCACTGGCGTGCAATGTAATTAGCTGTATGATGTGCTTTGGCAGGTGATACAAGGTGTCACTTTTCTCTAGAAAGGCAAAGGATCCTTTGCCTTGCAGGTGGGAAAGCCTAATACCTAAACATGCGCTGCTGAGAAGAGTAAACTGCTGCCGAAACCAAAGGATGTTTTTCTTGGTATTTTTCATTGTTTGGTTTTGTTTGTTT